TCTCTCTCTCTCTCAATGATTGAGTTCAGTTGTCAATAAATGATGTAATGCTATCTCCGAACTGTCAATGATTGAGTTCAGTTGTCAATAAATAATGTAATGCATAATGCATAGTGACGAAAGTGCATTATAAACGATGTAGCGTTGTGTTATTTCCGCTTCGTTAACTCCGTTTTTCGTATAAGCACCCAACCCCTTTACAGTAAGACTCGCTATGACATTTGCATTAACCCATCAAACCGAGTGCATATAGCATGACTGGGACCACACATCTTATAACAGTAGCTCACATAAAGACATGCCGCTTGGTCATGTGCAGCGCAAACAAAAATGGAGGATAATCGGAGGTGCAAAAAAGGATGGACCGTACGCTTGGCAACAACGAACTTGACGGAGCACGAGATGGTGGCACTCACACGATTGCCGGTTGATATCGGGAATAAAGACATCATAACAAGCTCGTATAACGAAGACACAAGGGAAGAACTCACGATGACTGTTAACGGTTTTAGCTTACTAATGGTAGAAAAAAAATGGTTGAATGAGGAGATAGTAAACTTTTATCTTAACCTCGTGAAACTAGACAACGAGTGTCGTGTGAAGCATATAGACTGCGACTCAAATAATGAGAATGTTGTTAGAACTGGAAAGGGGCGCATCCCTATAATAGCAATTCTAAGCTCGTTTTTTTTTGCCAAACTATTTGGTAGCAATATGAAGTTCCACTACGATAAGGTTCGCAAATGGTTCACAGAGGTTGTGATTAGCGACATGGATTTGATTATTGCGCCTTTCCATGTCTTGCACAACCAACATTGGACACTCGTAGTGGCAGACTTGAGACGCAGGAAATTCGAGTACTACGACTCGCTGACACCAGACAAAGAACTCGCGATGAAGGTGACAGGGGGGTTCGCAAAATTTTTGTACATGAGATCGATCGAACAAGGTCAAGAGATCGACAGCAAACAGTTCAACCATATATGGACAGTGGAAGACATTCCAAAGCAACACGACTTCAACGATTGCGGTGTGTTTATGCTCACATATGCATCACTGTTGGCGAGAGGGTTCCTGCCACTATTCAACTTCACATCAGATGACAGTAAGAAACTACGATACTTGATAGCTTTCGACGTAGCAGTTGTGGAGTAGACGATTATGAGGTTGTTACATTAGTCATCCACGCACATGAGAGGAAATGCAGTGACCACAAGTACAGGTGATAACAGGAGAAAACGAGCTTGCTAGAGTAAACGGGATAATTGATGCAATTACACAAAAGGTGTAAATGGTTGTACAAGACATTCACCCTTACACCTAACCACTTATCACCTTACCCCTTATCCGACACACCTTACCCCTTACCCCTTACCCCTTACCCCCTTAACCCTTATCCCCTACCCCTTACCCCCTACCCCTTACCCCTTACCCCTTACCCCCCCCATTTGTGTCACAAATTAATCCCCATGGAAGACAAAATAGACAAAAAATTAGAGTTTCAATTTTGTTAAAAAATAAAAATATGTCCGTTTTGACGAAATCGTTGTTCCAAGCATAAAGATGTACAGAAGTGGAGGCCTATCTATCCATCTTACTCTGAATGCAGTGTACGCGCATGTCGGAAGATCTCTCGGACCATTAATGTGTTGATATGGGATCTGCCGAAGAAATCTCATCTCAATTTGAAATGTACCGATCTTTTGGTCGACTCCTTGAAAACGATTAACAAGAGTGTGATGAAAGGTGAAGCACTGTTGAGGGGGGGTTTTGACATCAAAGAGATGTTCTGTAACTTACTTCATGATTCCATTCTGCAAGCTTTGGACTGGGTGTTGGATTTCTGAAAGACGAAGGGTGTCGAGGGGATGCTTCTCCAGAAACGAGGGAAGGGGGCAAAATTACAACGAGGTAGGAAGCAAGAAGGATGGGATTCTGTGGGTTTTGACATTATTAAAGTCTTCGTTAGCTTTGACTTGGACCACACCCTTATACGAGCATGTGGTATGATCCTGAAACAAGGTGTTGGGATCCCAATGGGAAAACCCTCTAGTCCTGCTATTGCTTGTTTGTTGTGTGTTCATTCTGAATTCTCCTTTCTCACTTCGCTGGGCAATGACCGTCGTTTGGTTCAAGGAGTTAGGCTTATAGACGATGTTACCGTCTTTGTTCGATACAAGGTCGGTGACTGTGAATCTTGGCAGAAGGCACTAGACATCCTCGGTGCCTTTGAGAATTGTTACGACAAGAATCTGTTGTGTGAGTGTACGAGTACATCCGTTTGTTGGGAATTTTTTGGTTGCGTGATTCGCAACTTTGGATGGCCGATTGGTGTGCATTGTGAGGCTGTTCACAGGAACCAAAGAGTGATTCTTGATAAAGGAATCTGTTTCCAGAATTTGCAGGACAACTGTTCCTATGTTAGTAAGAAGCAGAGAATGGTCGTGGTCGGCTCTTTCTTACATCGGGCCAAACGTTTCACCAGTATCCTGGTCGTGGAAATTGCCTTCCTCTTTACCCTCAAGGTTGAGTTGAGGGTTCGGGGTTTTCCTTATGACATTTTTGACAAATCACTCTGTGTCTTCCCGTCTAAATTTGGAGGAATTTGGGATGTTTGGATTGATTGGCTAACGGGTTGTGATAAATCTGTTTCCGAGCGTAGGATAAGTTGGGGGAATATCAGGGCCCTTCGTCCTGTTCAGGCTGGGGGCAATCGCTTATAGCCTGAGGTCTGATCGATTGGGCAGCGAGGAATTTGTTGGAGTCAATTGAGTTCTTTCCTTCTGAGGAATTTTTGAAATCTTCCATCTGACTGATTCTATCTGAGGTGCTGATGGGTTTCGTACCTGGCGCCTTCTATGATCCATATTCTTTGCTGGTTATCGATGTTTCCTTTTGGGTAGCCTGCGAGGTTTCGAGCTCGGTACCTTCCGTCTGGGAGAGTTTCAGGGCCGTCTGCCCTGTTCGGGCTGTGGGCAATCTTTATAGCCTGAGTCTAGAGTGTTGAACACGGTACCTTCTACGACTGGTGTCTATCTTGGACCAGGCCCTCTGGTGGGCTGAGTGAATTCTTTGACTATGTTTCCGCTGGCTTTGATCTGCTGACTTTCAGTACTGCTACTGAATCAGCTTTAGGACCACCACTCGCTGCTTCTGGAATGCTTGGACCTAGGTCTTGGGTGTCTGTTCTGTACTTATAGGTAGTGTGAGACGTCGACAAGCACTCAATGCGTGTAGACCCCTGACGATTCTGCAACCGGCTGCGGATGAAACATGTTGGGTCGTTGCCGGTCGCTTGGCTATGGTTGTCATGATATGGGCACAATGTTGCCTAGTTCAGAGTTGAGCTACTCAGGCTGGTGCCTCAGGAATTTTTCAAATTACGAGCCTGCCTCACGTTCTGGAGATGTCGACGTGTCATATTTTCCTCTTATCTTTCTTTTTTCTCCTCCTCTCCGCCTTCTTCTTTTCTCCTTCCTTCTCTCCTCTTCTTCTCTTTCCATTCTTTCGTCAGTTTTCTGTCATGACTTGTTGATGTCTCGGGTTGCATGCTTGAGTTATTGATCTGATAGACCTTCGGGTCGGCACTATTGCCTTGTCGATTATGCTGTTGACAATTTTGATGTTGTGTGAACAATTCACCATTCATGCAAACAACCACAATGGTCAGGGATGCTGGACCCACTTTCCAGCAGGTGCTGCTCCCCACCAATAGATGGAGCCTCCCCGATAGAGCTAGTAGTGCCTGCTCGTACCAGCATCCCTAGCATCTGTTCAGGTTGTTTTCTAAAAAAAAAAAAAAAAAAAAAAAGATTACAGCCCAGTGGGGGGCGGCTAGGGAAAAGTTGAACCAAGTACACACCAGGGGCGATATCAATAGAATCATCTCTGACTTCTGTGCGGACTGGTTGGGGAGGAGGGAGGGCTGGGTGGCAAAATGAGCTGGGCAGGAAACGGGACTGGGCAACAGGAACACCAACGGGACCATCGACAGGAGGAGGAGGTGGGACCGCAAGGGGGACAACAGGGAGAGATTGAAAGGGATTATCACCTGCATTTTCATGAGTGGACAAAGGTTGACCCTCGGGACCCCTTACGACCAGCCCAGGAATTCTCGGACCCTTTCCCCCCTCACCCATTGTCGCTGGAGGAAATGCTAAGTACCTAAGCGCTGCTTGGCTCATTCATCTAGTGCCATCTACAATGAAGCTGAGCATCTCCCAGAAAATCTGAAGAGCATTCATCTAGCGCCATCTACGAGGAACGACAGAATGCTGGGCTCAGCCCCCAGCACATATTCGAGGAGAGCACAGCGAGAGATTGGGGTCAGGCGAGGAAATGGAAGGAGGCTCCCATTGGTGTCCCCCAGTGGCTCCTTCCGTTTTCCTGAGCCTGGCGGCATGTCAGGAGAGGGGCAGGACGTTGGACTTGATTTCCAGCAACGGGGTCTTTCCCGGTCCGTCGCATGATCATGGTTTTTCAAACTTTTTCTTATTTTCACCTATGTACTTCTAAAAGACACTGAGCCTGTTTCTCAGCAAAAAAAAATGTATTCAAGGGACACTGGACCTGGTTTCCAGCAGGTGAGGCTCCACACCAATAGATGGATCTCCAACCACCACTGGGATAGAGGCATGCACAAGGGCCTTTCAAAAAAAAAAAAAAAAAAAAGAATGCCCTGTCATTATAGCTGTATTTGACCCAACTTCCAGCCCAGATACGGCGATAATTATCGGGCGTTCTATTCGGGTGAAGACGGTAGGTGTGCTCGACTTTCTTAGCCCTGCTATAATTTCCCCCCCATTTCTCAGTTTAGAAGGGTCCAGTCACTGCTGGTTGATTATAGTAGC